TGGCAAGACTGACTATATTACAAATAACTATGTTCTGCTGGAGACCTGTGTGGACAGTCTAGAAGCACTCATTACCATTGGGTCGGAAACCTATAACGCATGGGAGACGACTGCATGCCAAAGGTGATCTTCTTTGGTGAGTTTAAAAGAGGACGGCGTGGCATAACCGAGGACCCCCCCCCCCCCGCAAGCCCTATAAAGATTAAGTCAGGCGCTATTTCGCCCTCACTGGCATAAAGGAAAGTAGCTGGCAGCAGATGGCCTCTAAAAGAGACAATTAGAGAGCTCTCACAAAAGCTGCGGGACAAACATTTTGAGACTCAAAGAAAAGCCAGTAGCAAAGAAAGACGCAGAAGACAGAAAGAAAGCTTAAATATGTCGCCAGTGGACAACTGCTTTGTCTGCCCTGCACGAGATGCGGGAAAATAGGCAGGTCGTAACTGAGTTTGCGTAGTCACTTGAAACACTGCACTCAACCTTAATCTTCGGAATCGAAGCCATTGCCATTATTATTATTATTATTATTATTATTAATGTTAGAAAAGAACGAGTATTCATTCTTTGGAGCAGCCAGGGTCGAGTTTCGTTGAAGGGAAACAAAATTTATCGTAGTCCACCCCTTTATCAGTTATTATTATTATTATTATACTGTTATATTTTGTTAATTTCTTCTTCTTTTTTTCCAGAAGTTTGTGAAACTCTGTCCGATTGCTTTAAAGGAACTAATCTCAAAGGCTATGACGCCTGTCTTGAAGGTTGCTGCGTTATGTTTGTGGTTGGTGACTAATGAAATAAAGCAAAAATGGATGCATTAAATACACACAATGAAATCTAGTCCTTATGTCGTATATTGACATTAAACAGTTTTTGTTTGCCCACGGTAAATAAACTTCAAAGAATAGAAGATAATTAAAAGATTGCTATCCCCTTCAAGTTTGACATTTTGTTTAATTATGAATCTAAAATTTTAATCCAATATATAATAGGTCTACACAACTCTACATGATCTTTTTTGTTCGTAAATATCCAATTTTCGCTTCAATCTTGAAGTTAAAGGATACTAGAAAAGTAATAAAAGTCAGTTGCTAAAGTGGTTTTAACATAGTCTCAATGTAAACTAACCCGTTCTCTTTGGCCGACGGTTAACAAGGGTGTCATGTGGTCATGTGGTCAGTTCAACGTTCTACTTCCTTGACTTCCCAAAATCAGCTACCAATGACCGTCGGGTGGACTCAAAAAAGTCCTTCAAATGTCGGAGTTAAAAATCTCGGTCTTCATCAGGATTTGAACTCGAGATTCCCCGGTTCGGAAGCTAAGTATGCCCCATAGGCATAATGTAACTCCAGGAAATTTAATCCTAAAATATTGTATAATGATATCCGGTTCATATTGAAGATTGTGTTTCCACTGATAAGGTACATGTCATTGTTTCGTTGACTTGTTTTACATGTTTTAGATATTTTTTTTAAAGATGTTTTAGGTGCTTTGAATGTTTTAGATGTTTTGGATGTGTTAGGTGTTTTGGATGTTTTAGGGATTTTGGATGTTTTAGATCAAAGTCCAAAGCGCCTATCACACGACCAGGTAGCCATCCAGACTGCATAAATTAAATAAAAAGGGTTCATATAAATTCTTAGATTCAAACGATATCCGTCCCCTCGCTTCCCCTGTAGCATCTAAAGAATGATGCTTTTAAATAAATAATGTAGCAGACAAGACATGAATTAATAATTGCTTGTTTTTCTTATGTTTTTACATAGTGGTAATGTGTACATAAAAAAAAATAGATGGGAGATAACTACAATAATAAAGAGAAGAGCTATTTCTCTTATATATTTAATAACATAATGTCGTGACCATAGACCTATATATATATTATATCTAGACTGGACATGGAGATCTTCTAACACTACAAAAAATGTGACAGTTTTTAAAAAAGGTTGAAACAAGGCGTTGTTTTGTTAAGTAGTTATAAGAAGTAAAGTATTTTTTCAACCCTAACCTATGTAATATATAATTTAATTTTAGATCTAGATCCAGAGATTTGGTATCGAAAATAAGAATACTCTCGTCTCATTATTATTATTTTGCAATTTTTAGATACGTAATGTAGAAAGATCTAGTTAATCAATTTAAATGTACATAAGATGATTAAAATCAACAGACATGAATTATTTCGATCTAGGATTTTTGAAACATCTCATTGGAAACAGGAAATGCCTTTGTTTCATATATTGCGTGTATATATATTTCTGTGATTAATAGCTGTTCGAAAGAAAATCCTAGAAATGATTTTGCATTATTTCTAAACTTTGAAAATTAAAGATCATTACTTTTCTAAGACAGAAAAGATTAATTTTTCTAGACTTCACTTACAGCTTGAAAAAGAGTTACGTACATAGAAATCTATAGGTCTGTGAAGCGATCAATCGCGAATAAGAATTTGTTTCCTATTTTCAGTCTAGATATAATATATATCTATAGGTCTATGGTCATGATTTACTTATTGTACCGTATTTTTTTTTCTGCAAGACTGAGTAATCACCCCTTCAGTGACTATCAAATCAGAATTTTTCCTAAGCTCAAGGTCTGTATGACGTAGCAACGAGCTATTGGTCTCCACCACTCACAGGTTGAGACGTCGCAGGTCTGTCTTGAGGCCTTCTGTAACGATTGGTCACGGATGAAATAACCCGGATGAAGTGACCAACAGGAAAAAATCCCGGACTAAATGAAATGGAATCTAAAAAAAACAGTCCCGTTTAAGGTTTTAATATTTTTGCATGATAACAAGACGCCGATATAAAAAAAAAGTCAGACACAAGAACTCTTTTGTTCTTTTCGTAAATAAATCCTTTAATAGAATGAAAACCCCTGATGTAAATTTCACGTGTTATGTTTTAGAGAGAGAAACTGGGGTATGAGTGCGTATGTTCTGTGCTATTGTAAATTTCCTCTTCTCTTATAATGTATTTTATGTGTAATAAGCATCGAGTTATACTCATGTATGCAAACGCGACATGAAGGTCTTCAAAATCGACACTAGCAGCTGGGAAAAAGTAGCACTTGATAGATCTATATGGAGAGAGAGCATAAATGAAGGGTCTCGGATTGCAGATGCCATACACAACAGAAGCAGAAAGAAGGGTGAAAATGCAACGGCGCTTGGTGATTATGTATGCCCAACCTGCGATCGCAGCTGTGTATCAAGGATTGGTATCTTTAGTCACACAAGAAGTTGCAATGGGAAAAGATCGTCTCTCGAGGCGTAAAATGCCACAGAAGCATTTGTAAGACAATTTCTCCTTAAGGATATTATTAATTAATATTTTATTATTATTATTTCAAAAAAGGAACCAAATTTTATTCTCTGGGTCCAGCTTGGTTAGACGAAAGTAAAATTCACTGTAGTCCCCTTACCCCATAATAGTGTCCACTAAAAAATGTTCTGGTGATGTGGCAGGTCTGCAGCAATATAGCCCCCCTGACGGGGAAAGCGAATCTTCTTAGGAATGTTTATGGCCTATAATGTGACACCTTCATCTCGGCTAATAAAACAACTAGGTATATTGCTATTTTACCCAACTTCCGCTGTATCTCCATACTTAAGTTTTCCTACTTTTTTATTTTAAAAAGTTTATCAACTCTGTCGGTCTGTCTGGTAAGACGTTTGAGAATGTTATTTATCCCACACCATTTCTCGTATCAAGTTGAAATTTTGCAGAATCATACATTGTAGCAGACAAGACATGAATTAATAATTGCTTGTTTTTCTTATGTTTTTACATAGTGGTAAAGCGATGTCAATGACGGTTGTGGATATTTCTTTTTTGTCAATAAACTGTCAATCTTGACGATATAAATTCATCATATTAGTCAATATGGATAAATCTTAGTATAATAAGTAAGCAGTTGACTCGAGATACTCGGGATCATACGTCAACGCCAGATGTTGATGGATAAGTTTCACAACTTGGTCATGGTGACCTAGATAGGCAGATTGTGACAAAGCTGGACATCCTGACATTATGTGCTATGTGTACTTCTCTATACATTTCCCCACTTTCGGGATTTGTCAATCACACCGAGCTCATTATTGTTAAAATCTAACTATTCGAGATATGCATAGAAATAAAATTGTCTTTGCAAATTGATAATTGTTTCTCCACTTTGATTCCTCCAAACCAGACAAGCAAAACTCGTATCCCTAATTATAATAGAACAGCGTAATGTGTTTCCTCTACTCCACAAGATCCACGGCGGATGGCAGCGTAACATTTGAGAACCATCGCAAAGTAGCTGACATCTTTAACGTGACGGACCCAACTCATGTAATAAATCAATTGCTTCTAATAAGGATCTGGTCAAGGCTGCTGTTTAAGTAATTGAGTGTGATGGTCGAGAAGGAAAAGAATTGACCTCCAAACTAATATCTTTACTGGCGTCCAAATTTTTTTACTCACGAATTTAGAAATCTTTGAGTCTATCCAGTTCAGACTGGTTCTTGATATTTAGTTTGGGGAGTTAAAGACGGGTTGTCGTTGTGCAGGCGTCATGGTCACTCGTTAACCTGGACCACTTTGAAAGAACGACGTAAATATTGCCTGGGGGGTTAAATAAAGAATACTATTTTATTTAAAACAAGAAAAACAATTTAACAAATACTTTAAAAAACAACAACAAAGCTTATATTAAATGTAAATTGTATCAATTAGTTTGGATCAGTCTTGCATTTAAATTTGTAATAGATCTAGACCAACAATAATAAATCTCTACGCCATGAACTTGTGACATTTTCTACTGCCCAATTAAAGGTTGGTGTCATTACAAGATAAAAGGTAAATGCATTTTGAAGGGTTTGAGAAGCCCTGGTGATTAACTTAAGTTGATGTTTTCAAGGTGGGCTGAAGACATGTCATTAATCTTGTACTTTTAATTAAGATCCGGTGTATTTGAAGGCAAGTAAATAGTTTACCTTTAAACATTAACACGTATTACCCTGGTGTTAGACATCTTACAAAGAGGTAAGGTATTATGTGTGACCTTCCTACGTGTAGTTTTTAGCCTCTTCTCATAGATTAACATGCCCTTCTGTTAAAATTTAGAAAATATGCTTAAGTTTAAATACATTAAAGTGTATTCAAATGCCTTTCTTTTCTGTATTAGTACTGCTAATTAAGATCTCTCATCAAGTTTGTATGAGGTCTAGACCAACCTATAGACTCTAATTAGTCTAAATAAGTCGTTCAATTTGAAATAAATTTGCGTGCAATAATATGCTGGACTTTGGGCCCATAATTTAAACTTCTAATCATATTTATGAGTTGAGGGTGACCATATAATCGCGTTGCTCTCAGGTACTGTTCCTAAATTGATCGCCTCTTTGTTGTGGGCGGTCTTTGACTTATAGCCCCGAACTGCTGAAAGACAACTAAACAGCTTTTGTAAAACTTGAAATGACTTGAATAGCGTCTTAGTGAACACTATTTAATAGAACTTTAATTACAATATAGAAAATTCAACTTGAGATGAAGCAAATGTAGAAGACTTAAGTAATAATACAAAATGGTATTCTGAACTAACCTAACTCACACAACAACAAAAAAAAACACGTCTTTTCGGTCTGGCTTTCTGGAGTCGTCTCCTACCTAAGACCGCTGACGACACTGCCACTTATCTTGCTTCATTCGCACTGCAAACCTCTTCCCATGGTTACCATAGAAACACTAGCACACAGACTAAATAACACTCTTCGCCCTTTCCTCCCTCCGAAAGGCCGCTTCTGGTCATAGTAAAATGCTTTGTTTTGTTTCTTCCTCAGATCAGAAAATGCGTTTTTTGATTTGTCTTCTTCTAGTCATGGCTATAGTTGGAGGTAAGTTGTTAAAGATTATTATTATTTTTTAATAAATCATGAATAAATGAAAGAAAGATTTTTACGCACTGTCTATTAATGGACACCAAGTTTTGATGACGCAATAAGTGTTTTCAAGAGTTTTCTTTGAGTTTCATTTATTACTACAAATAAGGTAATCTTCTAGAATGTAAAGTACTAGACCAGTTCATATCTATAATAATAGTTGATGGTCATTAGTGTAATCCGTTCAAACGACCGAAAGTTCTGATGAAATAAAAATAGTTCCATTGTTTTTTAAACATTCATTATTTATTAAGAGAAAACAATCGCTCTATAAGTTATATTGAGGAGGTATTGTCTTTTATAAAAAGTATTATAAAAGTTTTTCCTTGTTTGTTATCAAATGTTAGGAAGTTATCATGATATTCAGTTAACCTTTAACTGTCACATATATTTTTATTTAAGGTGCCCTCACTATGAGGGGCTGCAGATATTGTTTGTGAAATATCAATGATCATAAATCTGATATTTTAGTTATAATGTATCGCAATCTTTCTTGTCCACAGTAACCGTTGGTCAGACAGAAGAATCTAATGATTACAGAACTACAGTCAGACCAACAAGGAGACCAGAAGACTGTCAATTCAAAAGTATGTCATTACACTAAACTTGTCAATGATTAACTTAATTCAGGTTATTAGCGATTATTTAAAATAAAGAATGGCACATAAGTGCTTAATGAAGTTTTAGTTTAAATAATATATAGCCACTTTAGTGGCCAGTGATAAAACATATCTAATATTATTAATTACAGGAGTACAAAAAAATACCTATACGCATATCCTAGTGTCAATCCAGTCGTGCAAGTTAATTAGAGACTTAAACGCGAAGTTATTTGGTTTGCCTAGCCTAGCTCCAAGTCTCTATTTTATTCTAGATGCCATACGGAATGCTACGGGAATCGTGCTATATGAATTTGTTTTGTTAATTTAGATATAATTACAGAAAAGTTACGGTAAAGAGCTTGGCTTCTGAACCGAGTGTCCCGGGTTCGAATCCTGGTGAAGACTGGGATTTTTGTTTTGGGATCCTTGGGCGCCTCTGAGTCCACCAAGCTCTAATGGTTACCGACATTAGTTAAAAGGTGGTTGGTCGTAAATTATGGTTCAGTGTTTTATGTTGCTTAACGTATTAGTTTTCTAACCTGAAGTACCTTTAAGTTTAGCAAATTTAATAATGGACATACAGCTGAAGTAAAACGAAGGACCAGGTTGAAATATGGAAGGAATGATTTTTTTGTTTATCATTGTGGAAGGACTTAAATAAGAAATTAAAAGTAAAATAATCATTGACAAAAATTCTTTTTTTTTTCTTTTTTTTTTTAGAAGGTTGTCGAACATTCTCTGACTGCTTCAAAGGAACAAATATCCGTGACTACGAGGCTTGTCTCGATGGATGCTGCGTTATTTTTGTGAATTGATTCTGTTGATATATAAATAAATGCATTGAATACAAACAGTATAATTTATTTTATTAAGTCTCTAGTTAGAGCAAAAAAAAATCTCTTTCCTGAAAGGTGAATAAAAAAAAAAGATTAGCAGAATATATCGGAAATAAAAACATTTTTCTCAAAAGCTTTACATTTGTTTCAGTAATGAATCCAATATTAAAATCCTATATATGTTCTTTCTTCATAGGAATAATCGAAATATCCGAATTTCGCTTAAACGTAATGTAAATAAAAGTGCATAAACGTGTAACTAGAACAAGTAAGCAGTCTGTTGGTCAAGTGATTTCAACATCGACCCCTTCAAGATCTTGCGATCTATTTGGGAAAAATGGTAGCAAAGCGTTTTACGTGTTTCGGACGTTGCACCAGAATTGAAGATAAGTAAATCCTGGCAGTGGGCGTAGCACGGTACCCGTGGGCAGGGTTCAAGAATATGATAGTAGGCCCTCCTGCCAATATATATTTGGCTATTATTCCGTATAACTAATGAATTAGCTATTATTCCGTACAACTAATGATTGGGCTATTATGCCGTACAACTAATAGCGTATTAAAACTGAACAAACAAATATGTCTGCCAGTAGTTCTTTTTTCCCATGATTGAAACTCACATTCCGAAAACGCATCTATGATAAAAACTATAATTAGTTAACAGTGAGTAGGTTCAGCATTTATTTACTAAAATTTCATTTGTCTGGCCTTCTATGTAACAAAGCTAGAAACCTGTGCTCTTTCTACTTCCATGGAAATAACAACAAATGAAATCTCCCTGCTCTGTGTCATTGAACTTCTAAATTATTGTCTACGAATCGCAACTTTGATAGAATGACCGCTCTGCTGAACAACTGCTACAAGCAAAGTGACTTTGGATTGACGACTGAAACACCATGACAGTTTCTTTTTTAAATGAAATCTGTCATGTAATCAAGAAACAATGACAGCGATAGTTCGGTAAAATACGTGGTTTTTGAAAGTCCTCTCGGCATCTTAAATTTCCTCTTCACATTAAGCTCATCAATTCGTCTTTTAACTTTCTGCAATTGCAAACTGAATCAACAGTTTAAGCTCGAGCTAATCCAGCACCCTCATTTCTTACACTCTCAAATGACTTATATTATCTTATAAAATATAGAGGACACGCATTAACCATGAGATATATCAATTGTATGAAGTCCCACCGATAGTGACAGAAATAAAAAAGAACAGACTACGTTGGGCAGGTCACCTTGAAAGAATGTCAGATAACAGAGAAGCAAAAATTGTATTCAGGCAAAAACCAGAAGGCAGGCGACCCAAAGGCAGACCCCGAATGCGATGGATTGACGATGTGGAGGCAGATCTACAACAGCTTGGAGTTAGGGCGTAAAGACGAAAGGCCCAGGAGAGATCTAAATAAAAGGATGTGTTAAAGCAGGCCAAGGCCCTCCATGGGCTGTAGCGCCACTAGGATGATTGAATGGATATAAATTATAGACGTTACTTCAAAAAAGAAGATGATTACGTCCTACGCGTATTCCTAGGTCAAACTTGTCATGCATTGTTTCATTCTGGATCTTCTCCACTTCACCCACAGCTTTATGTAGATCTTGCTGCTCATATTCCAATAGTTTTTTATACAGCCTTACTATTGTGCACTTGACAATAAGCAGAACAATAAATCTAATATTTCTAATTTCCTCTAAGATTCCTGGCGTTCTTTTTCCTTTAGGGAACACAAAGTATATTGTGTTAACATCTTTAGTACATCAAGATATTAGAATCTCTTTGCTGTTAGGGCATCATTCCTTGATGGCCACTTGTACTGCACAATTTGTTGTGAGAGGCCTATAATCTATGCTTTCCTTATTGGATTCAAGAGGCGCCCACCGTTTTGTAGTCAGTTTTAAAAATCTGCAAATTATTGAATTAAAAGTTATGGTTAGCACGGTGAACATAATGCACAAGAGAATGCATTTGCTGAAGCGATGCGTGAAGGTTATTGTGCTGCTCACTCATATGGGAAGCACCATCATAGCATGGCATCGCAATTTATTTAAAGATAAATGGTGATTTTTTTTTATCACTTGGAGTATTTGTTGAGCCAAAACTGTAGACTTAAGGTTCTCACAAACAGGAAAATTTAGAAATGATTTTCTGATCGCTTTTTCTCTGGGTATTCTGTCATCGGTGGTCACGAAACAATATTGAGAAATTACGGTATTTGGCAATTATTTTTTTTACTTTGATTTACCCCCAAAGGCCCACGAGGGCCCTAATTGGTCATGAATTATGGGCCCAAGCGCAATGAAACCCCTACGTGCCATTGTTACTACTCCACGGGCTGTGGGTCCATAATGGTCATGGCTACTCCACTGATTCCTTGCCAAACCTCCTGTAGCTCAGCTGGTAATGGGGACGGAAGGGTTCGAAACATTTAGACGGCAGTCCAGAGCGCATACCACTCGACCAGGCTGCCATCTAAGCTAAAAAGAGAATTAGGTTACTATGGTTCACATACTTTCTGAAATTCAAACGATATCACTCGTCTCACAGACTCTATATTATCCAAAGGGTGATGTCTTTAAATAAATAATGTTTCAATTTTTTTTAAAAGTGGGAGGTAACTACAACAATAAATAGTGTGACAAGAGTTATTTCCCTTAAATAGTTGATAATGTGACGTCATGATGCTTTCTGAGTAGTCACCCCTTCAACAAACAGTCAATGCCAACTCTGATCAGAATTTTTACACATTGTAGACAATCTCCGAAGTCTCATAATAACAAAGCAATCATCCTGAATAAGAGTCGAACGTAATGGGTTCTCACTTCGATTAGCACAGAAAAATGCGTGTCGAAATTAAAATATGTTATAATGACATGGTCACAGCGAGACATTAAGATTACAGTAATACAAACTAAAGTGATGAACATCGTGTCAAGATGACTTTCCTAACATTGTTTGTG